TTCCTTCCTTCCTTCCTTCCTTCCTTCCTTCCTTCCTTCCTTCCTTCTTTCCTTCCTTCTTTCCTTCCTTCTTTCCTTCCTTCTTTCCTCTCTCCCTCCTTTCCTCTCTCTCCCTCCCTTCCTTCCCTTCCTCTCTCCCTCCAAGACATTTAAAGCCCTAATATACATGGTTCTAAAACCAGTACCTTGGTATTGTTGCCTCCTTTAGTATTCACATCTCTTAGAATGGAGGACGAACTGCTGCATGTTTGCCTATACATTGAGACCAAATCTGTATTTCTTAATACAACAGTATGGAAAGGAAGTGACAAAATGTTAACACATTATTGGCTTGGTGGGGGAAGGGAGACAGTGTTGTATTTGCGTAAAACAGGATTAAATCACCTGCACTCCTGTACCCACACTAGAGAAATTAGAGTATCTGGGGACTTGTAGATAACCTTAAGGATGTGAATGGATCTCTGTGGAGAGTGAACTTTAAAGAAGGAGTGGTTGCAGAGGACAGAGGGGCTGGCTGGAAGTGCCCATGAGGAGCATGGATAGTGTTACACATGGAATCAAGAAGACCTGAGTTCTAATTCTGGCTTATACTTACTAGCTGTACGATCCTGGGAAAGTCACTTAAACTTCCTCAGCCTTATTTTGCTTATTTTGGGGATAATAACAGCATGTACCTTACAGGGTTGTTGTGAGGATTTATTAGATAATGTATGTGCTTTGTTGCTATATAAAAGTTGTTGTTATTATTATTATCTTCCTGGTCCAACATATCAAGTGAAGGGCTAGGCATGAGATCAGCAGCTTACAGGATTAAGAAGATGGCCAAGGATGCTACATCTTTTGAGGAGGAGTCAGGAACAGAGAGTCCTTAGAGAGCCATTTGTTAAACATTTACCAGCATATCTCTGCGAGGTGGGTGAACTTGCCAATCTGCTTTTTAGAGATTTCATTTTGAGCAGTCCCAGAGCAAATTTTAACAAGGAAATCAATTCAGAAGCCCTTTGATTTTAGTTGCCCTTTGACCCAGCTCATCTCAGATTAAAGCCCAGGCCTGGAATCTGATCAGGCATAACCAGAAGGCTGTGCAGAAAAAAAGATGTGGAAGACTTCCCTGCTGCCCAAGGTCCTGACTTTGGGGGTCCTAGGCCTCCTAATTCCAGCTCAAGGTGAGCAGCTCTGACCCAGAATGGGGGATAATTTCTGGGGGAAGATGGGAGAGTGTGAGGCTTGTGGGTTATTTTTCCTTTTGTTGCCATCACTGACTAGTTGGAAGGCCTGGAGGGGAGAGGTTATTGCTAGTTTTATTTCCAGGAGATAGATCTGGGTTGGCTATTAAGAAACTGATGTGTTCTACACATGTTGCACACAAAATTCTTCTATCTCTCAGTGGAATTCACTGTGGAAAACAACCATCTAATCTACCAACAATAATTTAAGTAGCAAGTGTTATGCTAGGCATTAGGGAATACAAAGTCAAAGGCCAAACAGTTCCTGCCCTCTAGGAACTTATGGAATGGACATGTGTCAGTATATACATAATATGTTAAAAATGAATATGTGGTGGTTTGGGGAGAGGGGGCACTGGTAGCTGGGGAGATCAAGGAAGGCTCGATGTAGAATGTAACATTAGCATGAAGCCTTCAAGGAAACCAGGGATTTTGAGAGTCAGAGATGAGAAGAGTGATACAGTATCATGTCAGCTGTATAGCAAGCTCACCAATATGGCTAGATGGCTGAGTATGTGAAGGGGATAATGTGTGAGGATACTGAAAGGAAGGAAGGGATCAGGTTTTGAAGAGCACTAAATATATTTATTTATACATATTATATTTATTTAAATATATTACATATGACCCCCAGATGGATAATAGGAACCACTGAAGTTTACCAAGTGTGTGGGGGTGACATGGTCGAATATAGGCTTTAGGGATATCACTTTGGTGACCATGTGGAGGGCATGAGGATATTGCTATAGTCCAGCTAAGAGATGCCAAGAGTCTGGACTTGGGCGATGGCTGTGTGAGAGGAGAGAAGGAGATGTTGTAGAGGCAGAAATGAGGTTTGTCAGCTGAGTGGTTTTTGTGGGATGAGTTCAAGTGAGGAGTTGAGGAAAGTATTGAACTTGTGAACTTGCGGTGTCCTCTACAGTAATAGGAAAGTTTGGAAGAGGGGTGAATTTGAGGAGAACATAATGAGTTCTGCTTTGGACATTTTCAGTTTGAGATGTGTTCAGGATATCACCACTTCAAAATGTCTCATAGGCAGTTTGGGGTCTGAGAATGAAGCTCAGGAGAGAAATTATGGCTGGGTACGTAGAACAGATAGACAATGGCATAGAGTTGATACTTGAACTCATAGGAGCTAACGGAGTCACCAAGTGAGAGAGTGTAGAGAGAAAAGAACAGGGCCCAGGACAGAGCCTTGTTGTATACCCAGATATGGCATGGATAATGAATGGATGAAGGAGATTGAGCAGAAGAGGAAACTCAGTGAAGGGCAATTTCATGAAAACCCAGAGAGGCAAAGTCTCTAGGAGGAGAGGTTGGTCAACAGGGCCAGATGTTGCAGTGGGATGAGAATTGAGAAGAGGCCATTCCCTTTGGCCATTAAGAGATCATTGGTAACTTTGGAGAGAGCAATTTCAATTGAATGATGGAGCTGGATGCCAGATTGCAGAGGATTTAGAAGACAGTGAGAGGAGAGGAAGATACTAAGTGTGTAGATGGCCTTTTCAAAGAATATGACTGAGAAAAGAAGGGGAAATGAATGATGATCGTTAGCAGAGATGGGGGGACAAAATCAGAGTCATTTTTAAGGCGAGGAGTCTTTGGAAACCATAGAAATAGAACCTGTGTGTGAGAAGATATGGATCAGAGGATCATAGATTTAGAGTCAGAAGGGCCCTTAGTCTAACTCTTTCATTCTACATATGAATAAACTGAGGCTGAGGGAAAGTAAATGATTTGACCAAGGAAACACAATGAGTAAGTGGCAGATTTGAACCTAGATTTTCCTGACTCTAAGTCCAGAACTCTTTGCACTGTGTCTTGATGACTTGCTTCTTGATTTTCAACCTCAAAAAAGCCCCATTGTCATAGAGAAGAAAACTCAAAGTACGTAAGGGACCTATGTTTCAGGACAATCCCATGTAACAAACATTTATTTACAGTTCTCTCAGACAGAGAAGATTGATAGGCTTTCAAAGGTGCTGGGTTGGACTGTTAACCCTCATCTGTCTATTCTATAAGGTCCTTCTTCCAGCTCCTTAACCTGGGGTCTGTGAGCTTGTTTTAGAAATATATTTTAGGGGCAGCTAGGTGGCGCAGTGGATAGAGCACCAGTCCTGGAGTCAGGAGGACCTGAGTTCAAATCTGGCTTCAGGCACTTGACACTGACTGTGTGACCCTGGGCAAGTCACTTAACTCCATTGCCTAGCAAAAACAAAACAAAACAAAACAAAAAAAACAAGGAGCAGCTAGGTGGCATAGTGGATAGAGCATTGGCTCTGGAGTTAGGAGGGCCTTAGTTCAAATCCAGCCTCAGACACATAACACTCACTAGCTGTGTGACTCCGGGCAAGTCACTTAACCCCAATTGCCTCACCGAAAAGAAAAGAAAAGAAAAGAAAAGAAAAGAAAAGAAATATATTTTAATAACAATTGCATTACAATTGTTTTCCTTGGCAAGCCTATGCATTTGAAAGCATGATTCTGAGAAAAAGTCCCTAGGCTTCATCCACAGAGGTCCATACCACAGAGAAAGGTTAAGGACCCCGATCTTGTACATCAGAGAAATGGTGTGACTATGAACCACAGAACATCAGGCAGCCTGCTGCTTTTGAATCAAAGGATTTAGGACTTTAGGAGACCTTGAAGGTCATTAAGGTCAGTCACTTCATTTTAGAAAAGCCAGAAATAGACCCAATGAGAGGAAATGATCTGCAAAAATTCCTTTAGGCACTATGTGGGAAGGCTGGGATTCAAAGCTTCACCCTCTTATTCCCCTGTCCAGTGCTCTGTCTATCCAACCTTAGCTCCTACTAATATCCTTTATATACTCTAGCCCAATAAAACTATTCCGTACTGGCCGCGCCGACCTTCTGCCGGCCGCACGCCGTACCCTCTCCTCCTATAAGGAGCAGGCTACCAGAGTCATACTCACTTCCAAGTCTTCAGTACTCAGCCGGATAAACACACAGAGACGAGCCATCGGGAGGCGCCAACACCAGAGCTTTATTCAGAGGCCATCACAGCAAGCCATCATAGCAAGCCCAAGCAGCAAGGCCAGAGCAACAGAACAGGATCCAGGAGAGAGAGCGCGTGTGATCTGACCACGCTCGTTCCTAAATACCTACCTAGCCCCTCCTCCCCAGCCCGCTTACTAGCCAATGATTGTAGGGTCAGATACCGGAAGGGGCTGTCTGAGTTTAGCACACCAACGGGGAGGGAGTGACGTAGGAGGCTAGGACCGGATACAGGGAGGAGGCATCTGGGATTAGTGCATAGACAGAGTAGGTGACCTAGGAAGTCAGACTCAGATACTGGGAGGAGGGGTCTAGGGTCAGTGCTACACAAAGGGACCCAGGAAGTCAGGAAGGTCACAAGAGGCGTCTGGGGATGACGTAGCATATAGGGAGGGGACTAAGCAAAGGGAACTCAGTCCTCTGCCGTCCCACTCCCACGTGGCACCGTCCCTTGCCTCAGGAGCTCAAGCTCCGGCTACTTCCTTGTACCCAGCTTATCTCACATAGCACTGCCCACTACCTCAGGACTTCTCCGTACCCAGCCCATCCCAGTTCACCACGACTCCGCCTACCACAACCCCTGCCTCGACTTCCAAAATACCCAGATTCTACCCTACTCTTGCCACAGCGCCCACCTGGTAGTTGCCAACATCAGACAGTCCCTCACACTATTCTTCGCATTTCTCCCCCACCATTTTCCTAACCCGTACCCTTCTGTCTCTCTAACTTTGCTCATGTCTCTTCTTTTTCCAGTTCATCCTAAAGTGATATTTTCCCATGTCTAGGAGAGACACTTTAGGAGGACAATTCTGTTTGATTCCCTCGTTTAAATACCCAGCTTAGGTGCCGTTTCCTTCAGAAGTTTCCTGGTCATCTTTAGAATTTCCCCCCCAGTTTTTATTGATAGATTTTGTTTTTATATGATCTTCATCCCTAAATATTTTCTTCCTGTCTCTAGAACCATTCCTTATTTTTTTTTTTTAGAATCATTCCTTATAACAAAACATTAAAAAGAGAGGAAAAATCAGTTTTGTCAAACTAACCAATATATCAACTATGTCTGATGGCTTATCCCAAGTTCTGTACCTATAATTAGCTCCCTGCCTCTGCAAAGAAGGGAGCCCTCATCAGATTTTTCTAGTACTTTTCCTGGACCTTTTCTCTGCAATTATCTTGCTTCTCCCTTGTATTCTCAGTTTTTTGGTGGTTTTTTTTTTTTTTTGGCAAGGAGGGGAGGGGAAAGGAAGGTGAAGAGGTAAGGGCATACATCTTTCTCCCTTATTAGAATGCAAATTCCCAGATCTGGGCCTGTGTCATTCTTTACCTTTTTGTCCCCAGCTCAGAGCTGAGGACCTTGCCTTAAGCAAGTGCTGATTAGATGTTTGCTCAATTGAATAATTTTGCTGGACTCTAGCGCTGACTTTAGCTCTGTGCCTTTTTAAGCTAGGTTGGGGGTGGAATTTCTGGGGAGCAGTAACTTGATGGGGATTCAGAATCCCAAAGTTGGACAGTTCCTGAGGCAGTACCAGAGCTATCTAAAAATGCAATGGTGTGTCTTTGGAGTGAGCTCCTCATCGTTGGAGATCTTCAAGGGAAGTGATGACCACATCCCAAGGACATTGTAGAGGGGATTCCTACTCAGGTATGGATTGGCAGAATGCCATCTGAGGTCCTTCTTCTTCAAAGACTTTGTGAGGGCTCAGGCCATGGAGTGAGGGAGCTCAGGGGATCTGGCTTCAATAGCTCTGGTTGAGGAGAGGTAGTCAGGACATTTTATCTCTACAGGTCACTTTTGGAAACATTTAATTTCATTGTTTTTAATGAACAAAAATAGATTTTTTTCTCCCTCTCTTCTGTTCCCCCACATTGAAAAAACAAACAACAACAAAAAAAACCAAAGCCTTCATAATAAATATACATAGTCAAGCAGAACAAATTCCTAAATTGGCCATGTCCACAAATATATATCCTAATGTACCCTGAGTCATTTCCTTTCTGTCAAGAATTAAGTCATATGCTTCATCATCTGTCATCTGGAATCATGGTAGGTCATGGCATTGATCAAAGTTAAGTCTTTGAAAGTTCTTGGTTTGCACACTGCTGTTGTTATAATATAAATTTCTACAGGTTATTTGTAAAAGGGGAGTGTTTGTAAGACTGAGCCTGTATTAATTTCTTCATCTTCCCTCTGAGATGAAAGTAATCATGGCAGAACTAGGAGGCCTGCATTCCCATCTAAGGAAAAAGTGGTGGTTTGGGATAGGGAGGGGGACATTTGTACATCTCCAGCTATTTCTGGCCCTTTGTCTATCCCTGAGGATTTCCTTCACCTTCGTTCACAGGGCACAAGGCTGATGATGCCATCAGGCCTGCTGAATGTTGGGGGCGGGCATGAGTAGATGGGGTATTTTGACATCAGTTCAGTCCTCTGTCCCTGAGGATTTCTCTCCCCTTTGTTTACAGGGCATCATGGTGATGACCTCATCCGGACCACTGAGTCTGGACAGATCCAAGGATCTCTCATCAGCATCAAGGGGCTTGACAAAGATGTCAATGTTTTCCTGGGAATCCCCTTTGCCAGACCCCCCATTGGAAACCTGAGGTTTTCTCCTCCACAACCACCAGAGCCATGGAGTGATGTGAGAAATGCAACTTCTTACCCACCCATGTAAGTAGTTTCCTCAATCTTTCTTTTACCAGATGTGCACAGGGCACTATCACGTCTTATCCAAACTTTTCATCTTCCCCAGTGCCTCGCAGAGGTGAGGAAACTGCAGCCTCAAGGTTACACGTGGCCCTCTAGGTCCTCAAGTGTGGCCCTTTGATTGAATCCAAACTTCACAGAACAAATCCCCTTAATAAAAGGATTTGTTCTGTAAAACTTGGCCAAAAGGTAGCACCCGAGGACCTAGAAGGCCACATGTGGCCTCTAGGCTGCAGGTTCCTCACCCCTGGCCTAAAGCATAGTTCTCTGTAGACTCTTCATAACTGTTTCTTTTCTTTTCTTCTTTTTTGGCGAGGCAGTTGGGGTTAAGTGACTTGCCTAGGGTCATACAGCTAGTAAGTGTCAAGAGTCTGAGGCCAGATTTGAATTCATGTCTTCCTGAATCCAGGACTGGTGCTCTATCCACTGCACCATCTAGCTGCCCCAATACATGTTTCTTAAGGGAATAAATGTCCCTTCCTCTGTAGGACTTTGCAGCCTCGAAGAATTGCTTAATGATAATTGTCTACATTTATATTGAACTTCAGAGCTTCAGAACAGTGCTGTGAGGCAGTTAGTGCCCATATTACTATAGAACGGAAAACTAAAGCCAGGAGAGATTAAATGTCTCATCTGAGGTCACAAAGCTAGTAAATTTCAGAGCCCAGATTCATTGACTCATAAATTATAAGAGTAGGAAAAGGTCATAAAGACTATCTAAATCAACGTTCTTGTGTGTATGTGTGTTTTAAAAAAGATTTAAGTATACCATATATATATATATATGTATATGATGCAGTTCCTCATACACACTCCTTCCCACCCTCTACTTACCATGGGACCTTCCTTTGTAACAAGGGCCATCCAATGGACTGCAGGGCCCATGTTTGATAGCATATGCAACATTTTGTACCCCTAGTCCCCACCCCCTACTGAGAGGAGGCAAGTTTCATCATTTGTTCTTTGGAACTAGTATTATTTACAGTAGTGAACTGAGTCCAGTTGCCTCCCAACATGGTTTTGGTTTGCAACGTCATTGCGTGTATTTTTCTCCTGGTTCTGATCACTTCCCCCTGCATGAGCTCATACTACCCAGAATTCTCTGAAATTGGCCCTCATCATTTCTTACGGTGTGATAATATTCTATTCCATTCATGTAACACAATTAATCCAGCCATTCTATGCTTGATGGGGATCAGTCTGGTTCCCAGGTTTTTGCTACTACTATGTCAAATGCCGCTAGCAATTTCCCAGTATGTACAGAGTGTCCTGAAGGTTTTAGTGCCTTTTAAGCTTTAAACATCCTGAATGCCAGACCTTTCTTTTTACAGCTGAGGAACCAGAAGCCAAGAGAAGTAACTTATTCAAGGCTGGCTTACACCTAGGCTTCTAATATTATGTCTGTTGTGTTAAAAAATAATTACTAACATTTATATAGTGTTTCAAGGTTTGCAAAGTGCTTTCCACATATTAGTTCATTTGGGCTTTCCACTCTATTGTCCTGACATCTTATAATTGTCTATATTATCAATTCTCAGAAACTCATAGTATCATAGAGTGAGCTGGAAGGAGCCTTAGAGATCATTTAGCTTAACTTCTTCAGGAGTAAACTGAGGCCCATTGAGATCACACAGGTACTAAGTGACAGAGTCAAGGTTCATAACCAGGTACTCTGACCTCTACTAAGAACAACATAATAAAACTATATATAGAAGTATATATAAAACAACATAATAAAAACTAATGACAATAGTTAGCATTTATGTAATACTTTAAAGTTTGCAGGGAGCTTTACAAATATTATCTTAGTTGATCCTCTCCCAAGCCCTGGGAGGTAGGTATTCTTATTCACATTTTACATATAAGGAAACTGAGGCAGATGAGGTTAAGTGACTTGCCCAGGGTCACACAGCTAGTAAGTGTCTGAGGCTGGATTTGAACTCAGGTACTACTGATTCCAGGTTCAACACTCTGTCCACTGAGCTGCCAAGTTACTTATTTCCACTTTGTTCCTGAGAACTATTTTAGGAGGAAGAAAAGGATTCTTTGTATACCACATGGGTGCCAAATGTACATGTTGAACCTTATTCTGCACCATTAACTTAGTAACAGGTTCTGGCAGTTCTCAAAGTGTGTCTGGGCACCCTTTCAGATGGTTCACAAAGTCAAAAATATTTTGATAATAATACTAAGATATTTTCATTTCCAGTATGGTAAACATCAATAGATATACCCCTTATAAACAAATGCTTTTTTGGGGGGGTCCTCAATAATTTTTAATGGTATAAAGGGGTCCTGACACCAAAAACTTTGAGAATCACCATTCTAGAAAAACAGAGACAGAATAACTAGAGGGGCCAGAAAGTGTAGCAGAAAGAATTCTGCCTGGGAGCTACAAGGACTGGTTCTGTCTTCCTGATTCCAGGATCAGGGCTCTATCCACTGTGCCACCTGGCTGCCTCAAAGGAAAGCATTTAGCAAACTATTATGAGGGCTGACTCATAACAAAGTTCATCTATTGTTAATTATTCTTATTCTTATTAACAATAATAGATAATAATGGATAGTATCAATATAGCACTTTAAGGTTTATAAAGCATTTTACACATATTATCTCATTTGAGCCTCACAATAACCCTGTGAGGTAGTTGCCATTTTTGTCTTCATTTTTCAGATGAAGAGACTGATGCTGGGTGATTTACCCAGGGTCACACAGCTAATTAGGATCTACTATTGGACTGTCCAGGTGTACCCACTATACCAAAGCTCTTATAAAGATAAGATATGGAGCTTAGATAGAAACAGTCAGGGGAAAAGTTGCTATCCAAAATATTTTTTTTAGATTTAATATTTCATGGACTGTTATAGCACAGGTGGATAAAATAACTTTTTATAGTTGAATCAAATTATTAGGATATGACCTCTTCTGTAGGCTTCTGCATCAAATTGATACTGAAACCATCCTTGGTATGACTCCAGTAATAGGCAGGACAGCAGGGATAGTGCACCCATCATTCTGTTGTTCCAATAGGATTTTGTTCTCCTTTGCTAATTTTCTATATTTTGGAAATGTTCTGTTTCATGTAGTTTGGAGATCATTATTGTTGTTTTTATTTTTATTATTATCATTATCATTCCTGGCTCAAAGTAAGGTGGATGGTGGGACAAGAGTAGAAATGGAGCTAGACTGCAGTTGGAATCGGACGTCATCATACCCCCAAATGGAGAGGGTCCCTTCTGTGATTCTCTTCAGGTCCGTTCTTTCTTCTGTTTTCTAGATGTTTGCAGGATGACGCTATCCTAAGAAAACTGATGATGTTCCTGAAAATGAATACCACTATTACTTCCAGTTCTGAAGACTGTTTGTACCTCAATATCTATGTTCCTGACCACACAGAGGAGGATGCCAAATTGCCAGTAAGCCAGATCTCTGTAACTTACAGCGAGGGATGAGAATCCTAGGGCATCAGGACTGGGTGGGACCTTTGAGGTCATCTCATTGCACCAGCATGGGAGCAGTCATCCTCTCTATATCTCTGACAAGTCATCTAGCTTTCCCTGAAGTTGTCTGGGTCAGGGAGCTTGCTAGTTCTCAAGGCAATCCACTCTATTCTTGGGCAACAACTCACATTGTTAGCGAATGTTTGCTTCTATGAGGCTGAAATCTGCCTCCTTATAACCTCAGGGAATTAGTTCTGTAATCTGGAATGGTATCAATTTTCTTTAAAGGTTATTATTTCTAGAGTAGGCATTGGTGGTCTTTAAAACGCTTCTTGATCCTGTCTAGACCTATCATTTCATTGCTGTAGGGAGTTTCATGAAGGGGAAACTCCTGCTGATAAAGAAAAGCACCTCTTCTGTAATGTAGAGTCTTGGAGAGTAGCTCGTGCACCAAGATACTAAGTAATTGATGTGTGGTCACAGAGCTGGTAGGTGGGATGGACACTGGTGAAGTTGTAGACTGAATCCACTTGCTTGGTTTCCCACCCGGAGAGGGTAGGGAGCTAACCACATAGTCAGACAAATGGAACGAGGTCCTTATCTCCTAACGATCCATGGTCTTTCCAGGGCAGTTCTTTTACAGAGCCTCACAGCTCATTCAGAAGCAGGCTCCACAGTTTCTCCATGTTGACAAGTCTCATCAGTCTAGTGTGTCAGTTATCATTGTGTAAATGTCAGAGACAGAACTTGAACCCAGTTCCAAGGCCATCTCTCTCCCATTTACACCAAGGTTCTTCTCTTAAGATAAACAATAACAAACAATTTTAAGATAAACAAAACTGCTTAAATGTCAGCTCCCCTATGAAACCTTCTCTGAATCTCAACAAACCAACATTCAATTTCACAATTTTTTTCTCTCTGGTTCTGGTTTCCTAATGGTAGGTTTTCCCCACAGAATTCACTGTGAACTTTTATGCTGGAGTTTGGATATCCTGAGCTCATAGAATAAGGCAAGCATTTGGTGTCAGTGATATAAGACCCACCCCACCCCAAAATCCAATGTATATGTGTAAGTGGTTGATAGATGGTAACACCACTGTGTGTTCTGGGGGAAAACAATATTCCTTATGCAAAGACAGATAGTAAAAGGGGCTGGCAAATATACTGGAACAGAGAAAGCACAGGCTTGGCCACTGAAATGGATTTTCATCAGCTGATCCTTTTTCTCCTTGTAAAGTGAGTAGCCTGTAAGAACCAGCAGAAGGCACAGCCTCTGCTGGTGATCTATTCTGGTTGCTTAGCTTGGCTTTGAGAACAGTTAACGTTGCATAGAAAGGTCCTGTGAACACTACTGGACTTGCTGTTTATAGTGCATTCTCTATTTTGTGATTGAGTCTGTGTCCCTTAGAATCCATCCAGGGAATTCTACCTCCTTTCTCTGTCTCAGGGGAACAAGGATCCTTTAGAAGAGGATGTTTTGCTCTGTGTGTATCTTTGGCAGCAGGAGGACCTCAGGGAGCTGATTGTGCCAGTAAGATTCCAAGAAGGATCTGAACTGCCTCTGAGTCAGGCCAAATGGGCTCTTTATCTGAGAGCAGCTCTGATGCATGTCCTTTCTATTCTTGATATACAGTATCTTAAGAAGAAGTAAATTCACTCACATTTAGAGCTACTTTATTAGGGGTCACAAGATAACAGGATACAGTATTCTCCTGTTGAGCAAGGGAGCGGCAGAACTATGCTTGGTGGGATTTGTTGGTGCAAGGAAAATCATGTCTGATCCCTGCAGGTGATGGTGTGGATCCACGGCGGTGGTCTCATCTTGGGCTCTGCTTCCACATATGATGGTTCGATATTGTCTACCACCCAGAACGTGGTAGTGGTCACCATCCAGTACAGGCTGGGCATCCTTGGGTTCTTCAGGTGAGACTTGCCCCCTGGAAATGTGACTCATTTGTCCTGATGAGATCCCAGCGTTCTTGTCATCCTTTGCCTTCCCAACAAGCTAAGCCTATCATTGTAGAAAAAGCACTGGATTTGTAGCCAGAGAATCCAAGTTCAAATTATGACCGTACTGCTTATGATGTATGTGACTTCTATCAGGTCACTCTTTGAGCCTCAGATTCCTTATTTACAAAATGAGCGAGCTGGATTGTGATCCTATGAACCTGGTGTTATTCCTCATAATTCTCAATCCTTCTCTAATTTGTCTTTCAGCACTGGGGATGAGCATGCACCTGGCAACTGGGGTTACCTGGATCAGGTGGCTGCCCTGAGGTGGGTCCAGAAGAACATTGCCCACTTTGGAGGAGATCCTGGCCGTGTGACCATCTTTGGCGAGTCTGCAGGGGGGATAAGTGTTTCCTCACATGTAGGTGGTAAAGAAATGACCCCAGTTTGGAAAGAGGCTTCTTGTAGTCAAACCCAAGATCAAATCACATGAACTTGTGTTTTTCTTCCTCTTCTCTTATCCTCCCCCCTCTCAGAACCAATGGGACTGATGACTTCTTTCTTTAAGGCTGGCACGTGCTCTTGCCTGCTGCCATTTGGAAATCCCACTATACTCCCCTGCCCCCAAACCAACTGATTATCTAGGCCTAAGAGTGGACCCAGACCCTTCTTCCTCTTACTTCATCTGGGACAGAAGATGCATTTTTAAAAGTTTACCAACAACAGAGGGGAAAAGGTAGAAGAAAAGGAACAAAAGAGTCATAATAATAACCACGATTTGATGCTTTGGGCCTCCCAAGTTTCATTACTCTAGATGCCCTTCTTACCAATACTTAATCAGAGCCTTTTGTAGCTGAAAAAACCATCACCCTGCCCCCAGCCTAGCCAGGCTGGCTCTTAGATCATAGACCTAAGATTCATTAGTAGGCCTATAATCAGAACTTTTCCAGATTGCTTGGACCTAGGAGAAGCTTTCATGCCACTGACAAAGTAATGATAGCATTTATGTAGACAGCACCTGAAGATTTGTAGAGTGCTTTACATATAGGATCTCATTTGATCTTCATAACGGCGTGAGATATCACCATTTTACAGATGACTGAGAGGGATTAATCAATTTTCCCAAGATCTCTCAGGTAGAAAGTATCAGAGGCAGGATTCAATCTTGAGCCCTTTCTCACTCCTAACGCAGCATTCTATCCACTACACATGCGGCGTTGAACTCAAATCGAAATAGTGGCCACTAATCCAATCATAAGGATTCCTGTAGGCTGCATATTGACTTAGTTCTTAAATGCAATGTTCTCTATATTTTATTACATTTTTATTTATTTTGTTAAATATTTCCCAATTATTATTATTATTATTTTGAGGAAAGGCAAACAGAGTTAAGTGACTTGCCCACAGTCACTCAGTTACTAAGTGTCTAAGGTCAAATTTGAACTCAGGTCCTCCTCACTCCAGGGCCAGTGCTCTGTCCACTGTGCCACCTAGCTGCCCCTCCCAATTACATTTTTTTTTTTTAGTTTTTAGGCAGTTGGGGTTAAGTGACTTGCCCAAGGTCACACAGCTAGTAAGTGTCAAGTGTTTGGTCTGAGGCCGGATTTGAACTCAGGTCCTCCTGACTTCAGGGCCAGTGCTCTATCCACTGTGCCACCTAGCTGCCCCCAATTACATTTTAATCTGGTTCTAGCACACTCAGGAGTGTTCCAGGCCACATATGGTCCTCTGAGCTTTGCCTTTGACACATCTGATGTGACCTACCTATGCTTTTCTGACACAGAGGCAAGGTTATGATGAGGCATCAGGTGAAGACATCAGTGGAGGGATGGAGACACCAGTGGAGGAAGATGATAATGATGACTGACAGGATAGAGGATTGGGATGGAGAGGACCTGGGTTCCAATCCTGCCTCTGTAGCTTACTAGCTCTGTGGTCTTAAGCAAATCACTTTCCTTCTCTAGCCTTGGTTTCCTCATGATTAGATTGTAAACTCCTGGAGGGCAGGATGTATCTTGTTTTTATTTCTCTGCCTCCAGTGCTTAGCACAGTGCTCAACACATAGTCAGCTCTTTAATAGGTTTTTAAAAATTCTCTGATCCATTGAATGAGAAGCATGGACTTAGATGACTTCTAAAGTCTCTCCTAGCTGTAAATCTATGATCTTGACATGGCATGTTTGGTTTTCAAAGGGCTCTACATGGATTATCTCATTTTAAAGCTCACAAAAGCTCAGGGAGGTAGCTAGGGCAAAGTATGCAGATGCTGAGATAGGGTGAACAGGTACAGGCATGTTATCAAACCCAGAAAGGCCTGGGCAACATCCAGAGCTAACTAGGTCCATTTGTGTTTAAACTAGATTTTAGGCCTGGCTGTGCCCAAGGGCCCCAAGGCCAGGGTCCCATAGAGGTCGCTGTTTGGGACTGTCCTATATGGGTAGCTTAGGGAGGTGGCAGGGTAAGTAATGGTCCTGGCCTTCAGACTCCCAGTGTCCTCTGTCTCTGCTAAGCCAGGAGTGTCTGGGCCTCCTCATGAATACTTCCTCCTCTCCTCTGCTGTGCTTTGCTCCCCCAGATTCTGTCTCCCATGTCCAAAGACCTGTTCCACAGAGCAATCATGGAGAGTGGTGTGGTCATCTTCCCTGGCTTGATTTCTTCCAGCTCAGAATCAATTATACATGTAAGTTCCTTATTCTTTGGTCTTTGCAGTCACTCTTATCCTTACTTAGGCTTATTGTCCTCCCAACTCCATGGCCCAGTCTCCCATTGACCTTCTGGTTCTCCTGGGCTATAAGAAGGTACACTGGAATGCCATTGAATATTCAGGCTGAAAGTTACCATAGAGATCATCCAGTCCAGCCCCCTCATTTTATCGAGGAGGAAACTGAGGCATAGAGAGGGAGGATTCAGTTCCTGGTTCCGTTTCTTACTCTGCCTGTGATTTTAAATAAAGCATTTCCTTCTTGGGACCTCAGTTTCTTCCTCTGTAAAAGTGGGTCCGATTAGATGGTTTCTAAATTGCTCCAAATTCTGATTTTTGATACCCCCAGTATAGCAGGAAGAGTCCCTCAAGGGGGCCCAGGTACAGGTTAGATGAGATGATCTGTGAGGTCCCTTCTACCTCGCTAGTACTTGTCTAGTTCTGTCATTCTGTGACTTGTCCAAGGTCACACAATGAGTTGGTGGCTGGGTCCAGAACTGAATTCTCTGAGACAATGTCAGGGCTCTTTCAATATACTGGACCCCATTATGTCTCCTTAATAGATATTTAGGTCTTTTCTCCTTGAGTTAATGGTAAACTCTTTGGGAACAGGTACTGTGTCTTTGTAACCTGCCCCTGCCCATCCCCATCCCCACTGGCTGGCCCTGAGTCCTGTACAGAGAAGGCTCATGATTGGGGGACTCACCCCACTTTGGTATCCAACTTGATCTCCTTTTCTCCATTACTGCATCATCACCTATAGAAATGAATCTTTGCTAGTTTACTACTGAATATGATAGGATTCTTTCATTGGGGTGTAGGCTAAGGATTAAGTTATGAGAATACTAATTCTTTCTGATTTCCTCTTTGCAGCGCATTGCCAACCTGTCTGCTTGTGAGAATTGCAGTTCAGCCTCCATAGTTGAGTGCTTAAGAAACAAAACTGAAAATGAGATCCTGGACATTAGCAAGGTACATAAGCTGCGACTGGATTACAGAATCAGTAAGAGCTTCCATATCAGCTTAGGGAAGGGGCTGGGCATTCATTCCTGACACTTTCTTCACTCCCTCCTTTGGTGGGGAATGAGATGAGGATCTTGAGAATGTCACTAGCTCTCTGGGTCTCAATTTCCTCCTGTATAAAATGGGGAACTTACACTTACTGGTCTCTAAGAATCCTTCCAAGGCCTTTTCCAGCTTTAACATTTTTACTTTCTAGGATCCTTTTCAATCCCAGTATCCTATGCTTTAAATATTTGGTGTTCTTAGGCCCCTTCCAGCACTGGACATCCTATGTTCTAAGCCCTAGTTCTAACATTCTACATTCTATAATTCTTTGTTCTAAGAGTCTTTCCTATTCTAACATTCTCTTCTAATACTCCTGCCTGCTTTAATATCTTGTGGTTCTGTGAGTTTATGGTTCTATGGTCAGGGTTGTGAGAGTACGATGATCAAATTTTGCTTCAGAAATATGTACACTGATGTGAAAGACAGATGAGATGGGGTTGAGAGGAGGATTAGAGGTAGGGAGATAAGAAGCTATTGCAATAGTGCAGAATGGCTGTAAAGAAGTAATGAACTAGGTTCACGTGGGGTGAACATTGTGGAGGGACACTAGCCTTTTTTTTTCTGCTGCTTTTTTCTTTAGGCTTTCAGGATAATCCCTGGCATGGTTGATGGGCAGTTCTTACCCAAACATCCTGAAGATCTCTTGGCTTCTGGCGAGTTCCACCATGTCCCCAGCATCATTGGCATCAACAACCATGAATATGGTTGGCTCATTCCTGTTGTAAGATCCTTGATTTGTCTTTTCTTTTTTTAAAATTAATTTATTTTGAATTATCAAAAATCACTTCCATAAACTTCTGAGCTTCAAATTTTTTTCCCTCTCCCTCCCCACTTCCCTCCCCAAGATGGCATGCAGTCTGGTATATACTCTACATATACATTCCTATTAAACATATTTTCACCTTAGTGATGTTGTAAGTAAGAATTAGAGCCAATAGGAGGAACCACCAGAAAGAAGAAACAAAACACAACAGAAGAAAAAAATAACATATGCTTCGATCTGCATTCAAATTCCATAGTTCTTTCTTCTTTGTGGATAGCATTTTCCATCATGAGGCCTTTGGAGATGTCTTAGATCCTTGTATTGCTGAGAAAGGTTAAGTCTATCAATATTAGTCATTGCACAATGTGGCTGTTACTGTGTACAACGTTCTCTTGGTTCTGCTCACTTCACTCAGCATCAGACCATACAAGTCTTTCCAGGTTTTTCTGAAGTCAGCCTGTTCATCTTTTCTTATAGCACAATAGTATTCCATTATATTCATATACCAGAACTTGTTCAGCCATTCCCCAATTGATGGGCATCCTCTCAATTTCCAATTCTTTGCCACCACAGAAAGAGCTGCTATAAATATTTTTGTACATGCAGGTCCTTTCCCTATTTTTATGATCTCTCTGGGATATAGCCCTAGAAGTGCTATTGCTGGGTCAAAGGGTATGCACATTTTTATAGCCCTTTGGGCATAGTTCCAAATTGCTTTCCAAAATGGTTGGATCATTTCACAACTCCATCAACAATGCATTAGTGTTCCAATTTTCCCACATCTTCTCCAACATTTATCATTTTCCTGTTTTTTCATCTTGGCCAATCTGATAGGTGTGATGTGGTACTTCAGAGTTGTTTTGATTTGCATTTCTCTGATCAATAGTGATTTAGAGCATTTTTTCATATGACTATAGATGGCTTTAATTTCTTCACCTGAGAACTGCCTGTTCATATCCTTTGACCATTTATCAATTGGGGAATGACTTGTATTCTTATAAATTTGACTTAATTATCTATATATTTTAGAAATGAGGCTCTTATCATTATCTTATCTATGGTTGTAAAAATTCTTTCCCAATTTTCTACCTTCCTTCTAATCTTGATTGTATTGGCTTTGTTTGTGCAAAAACTTTTCAATTTAATGTAATCAAAGTTATCCATTTTGCTTTTCATACTGTTCTCTATCTCCTGTTTGGTCATGAATTCTTCTGTTCTCCATAAATCTGATAGGTAAACTATTCCTTGCTCTCCCAATTTGCTTACAGTACCAGCCGTTATATCTAAATCATGAACCCATTTTGATTTTATTTTGGTGTATGGTATGAGATTTTTATCTCTGCCTAGTTTCTGCCATACTCTTTTTCAGTTGTCCCAGCAGTTTTTGTCAAAGAGTGAGTTCTTATCCCAGAAGCTGGGGTCTTTGGGTTTATTAAATAATAGATTACTATAGTCATTGACTACTGTGTCTTGCATACTCAACCTATTCCACTGATCCACCACTCTATTTCTTAGCCAGTACCAAGCAGTTTTGATGATTGCTGCTTTATAATAGAATTTAAGATCTGGAATGTCTCGGCCACCTTCCCCTGCATTTCTTTTCATTAGTTCCCTTGATATTTTGAACCTTTTGTTCTTCCAAATGAATCTTGTTATTATTTTTTCTAACTCTGTAAAATAATTTTTTGGTAGTTTGATTGTTATGGCACTGAATAAATAAATTAGCTTAGGTAGAATTGTCGTTTTTATTATATTAACTTGGCTTACCCAAGAGCAACTGATGGTTTTCCAATTATTTAGATCTGACTTTATTTGTGTGAAAAGTGTTTTGTAATTGTGTTCATGGAGTTCCTGGGTTTGTTTTGGGAGGTAAACTCCTAAATATTTTATAATGTCTACAGTAACTTTAAATGGAATTTCTCTATCTCTTGCTGTTTGGGCTTTGTTGGTAATATATAGAAATGCCAATGATTTATGTGGGTTTATTTTATAGCCTGCAACTTTGCTAAAGTTGTTTATTATTTCAAATAGTTTTTTACATGATTGTCTAGGATTCTCTAAGTATATCATCATCTCGTCTGCAAAGAGTGATAGCTTTGTTTCTTCTTTGCCTATTCTAATACCTTCATTTTTTTTCTTCTCTTATTGCTAAAGCTAATGTTTCCAGTATGATATTGAACAACAGTGGTGATAATGGACACCCTTGTTTCACCCCTGGATCCTTGATTTTTCTACCATCAATTCTCCTGCATGAGTGGAATAGAATGACAGGATTAGCTGTATACAACTTTTTGGGATCTTGGTATTTTTAATTTCTAAAGAATCACAGAATTTCAGAGCTGGATAGGACCTTGGGTGGCTACGGAGGCCAACCCAGAGCTGAAAGTTCTACAGCTCACAAGTAGGTGGCTAGTCTTTATGTGAAGACGTCCAAGGAGAGGAAACCTGCTGCCTCTGGAGGCTTCCTGCTTCACTTTTAAACAGCTCTGACTCTTCAATGGGGTATCATTCCATCAAGCCTCTTTTAATTTCTCTTTATTGTTGCCCCTCATTTTGCTCTCTGGCCACACACAGCAAGTTTTTTTCTTCTTCCAAATTCCCTCTTTTTCATGACAACCCCAAAAAATATTTAGGCAGTTATCATGTCTGTCTCTGTCCACCCTTCTGCACCCTACTCAGTTTTTTTCTCTAGGCTAAATATTCTTGGTCCCTTTAACCAATCCTCATATGGTATGACTTGAAGCCCTTTACCATCCTAGTTACCCTCCCCTAGCTACTCTGCAAATTGTCCATTTTCCTCCCAAAATGTAGTGCTCAGAACTGAACACAGTACTCTATGTGTGGTATGACCAGGGCAGAGTACAAAGGAATTATCATCTCCTTATTCCTAGAAGCTCTAACTTTCTTAGTGCAACTGAAGATCACATTGCATTTTTCTATGCCATATTGCTTTATGGACTCATAATAAGCTTGTGGTCTATCAGTACCCCCAGATCTTTTAAAACAAAATGCCATCTAACCTTACCTCCCTCATGTTGTACTTGTAAAATTAATTTTTCCAGGGGGCAGTTAGGAGGCGCAGCGGGTAGAACACCAGCCCTGGAATCAGGAGGACCTGAGTTCAAATCTGGCCTTAGGCACAAAACACTCACTAGCTCTGTGACTCTGGGCAAGTCACTTAATCCTAATTGCCTCATAAAAAAAAAATGAATTTTTCCTGAGCCCAAGTGTACGACTTTGCACTTGTCCCCATGAAATGTAGCCTTCTTAAATTTGGCCCAGTGCTCTGAGCTGTTAAGATCCTTTGATAGTTTGACTCCATCATCCATATTCCTCTTAGCTAAAGCTAAAATGACCTAAAGGTCATTTGCAAATTAGATATGCCTACCATCTATGCCTTTAGCAAATTTGCCCTGTCCCAGGCTTCCCTAGAAGAGTCAGAGGTGACTTCAAACCCTGGCTATTTTCTCCAAGAATTGGACGACTGATTTTACCTACAGACTTCCTCAGAGAAGCCCAAGACAGTTCTAGTTGCCTTTGGTTAAAATAGTCTCAACAAGTTTCTTTATCTTAAAGGCACAGCAACACCAACTCACATTGATGTGGCACTCTATTGTTTAAAAAAAAAACTGTCCTCAATGTACCCTTGATGAGGTAGAGGCCACAAAGACAATCATCCCTGTTTTTGCAAATGAGAGAACTGAGATTCAGGGAAAAAAAGCAATTAACCTATAATACCATAGCAAGTCAGTGAGAGAGATGGGCCCAGAACTCAGGTCTGCTAACTTCTAGGCCAAATCTCTTTCCTAAGGGACTACGGTTCTTTAGAAGTGAAGGCTGTTGGGTCTATTGGGATATTAGACATGCCATTAACATTGAAATAGCTAGACATCCTTTGACTGTTTGAAGGATTAACACTTAGGCTGCTCCTCATGCCCATATGGGTAAAGTTGAACTATTTGCATGGGTCAGATGAAGAGGATTCTGTATGTTTCATTTTTAGTATGATAGAGCGCTGTGAGTATTTAGCATTGCTGAGTATGTATTGGCTTTATGCAGTCTACCCTAAGCCTTGCTTGATGTGTCCTGAGCATTGTCTGGTGTGCTGGGCCATGTGTAGGAAATGCTGGATATCACATCGTACGCCCGATGTTGTCCTATGTGTGCTGGGTCGTGTGCAGTAAACTCTGGATATCACATTGTAGGCTCAATATTATTCAATGTTTGCTGGGCCATGTGCAGTAATGCTGGATATCACATTGTAGACCCGATATTGTCCAGTGTGTGCTGGGTATTATTTGGGAATGATTAAACAAACCTCTGGGGATAAAGTTGGCTTAAAGGGTAACGTGGCTTCCTTGGACCAAATTAGTTGTAAAATGTGTAAAATTCTCCAAGTGTACTCATGATATGGCTTTTCTCTCTCTATAGAGCTTCGGTCTGTCTATGTTCAAAGAAGAGATGACTAGAGAAACAATCAGAAAAATACTGCTAAGCCCACTCATGGTAAGATATATAAAGGCAAACTCACTTTCTTATTTTCTTCTTTCATAGTCCTAACTCACAGAGTCATAGAGTTGGAAGGAACCCTTAGAGATCATCTATAAGTATAATAACAATAAATAATCTCTAGCATGTGTATGTTATATTTTAAAGTTTGCAAAGTGACTTACAAATTTATTTAATTTGACTTTTACAGCAATCTGGGAGGTAGGTGCTATTATGATCCTCATTTTACAGATGAAGAAAATGAGGCTAAGTGACTTACTCAGGGTCACACAGCTAGTAAGGGTCTGAGGCTAGATTCAAACTCAGTTCTTCCTGACTCCAGGTCCAGTACTCTAGCCTCTGTACCACTCAACCTGGTCTTATCCCTTCCCTGAGGCCCAGATATCTTCTCCACCATCCCCAACAAGTGGTTGCCTAATATCTTCTTGAAGAATTGAACCCCAAAAGAATGGGCCCTGGGGAGGTAGCACAAGGATCTGATGGGACCCAAGACCCATGAACAATAGACTGTGTGGGCTCATCCCTTGTGATCAACAGACATAAATTCACCAAACAATTTACCCCCAAGTATAATCTTTTCTCTGTTAACATGTCTCTTCCTGGGTCTCATCTAGGGAATCCCGCCTACAATCGTATCCATAATGATGGACAAGTACTTAGGGAGTACTGAGGATCCCAGAGAACTTCGGGCTCAATTCCAGGAGATGATGGGGGACTTAGTCTTTGTCGTTCCTGCCCTCAAAGTGGCCAAATATCAACAGAGTGAGTATGGCTTAGACACTTTACAGGAACAGGTGCAAAAGGTTGCATCTCTGGGGCAACATGTATCTCCCCTGCACACTCACACAGAAGGAGGTTTTCTGCCCTGGGCTTTAGCATGGTAACCTTCAGACTGGCTGAATGCCCTCAATTGCCTTCCTTCTCCTGCCCTCCTTATTCTTCCCATCCCCAGGCAGGTTGTGCTTAGTAGATACTGCCAACAAAAAATAGCAATAATAATTACCCATGTTTCTATAGCACTTTATGGTTACTTTGTAGGCATTAGCCTTCTGGATCCTCACAACAGCCCCATGAGGATTAATAGGTGAGGATTATTCTCTCCATTTTACAGTTGAAAAATCAGCTTCAGAGAAGTAAAAGGATTCCCCCAAGGTCCAGGTCAATAGCAGGGCCAGGATTCCAACCCAGGTCGTGTAACACCAACTTCTCCTGCTTCACAGCATCACTCTTGGACAGTATTTGTTAAAGGGCTGCCCCTTCAGGAGCTTGCCTGTTAATGGCCTGCTACCACTGCCCCCCACCCCAATGTGTCAATAACTGTGGGCATTTCTTATGTTTGCCTAGGTCCCAGCTCTCCAGTCTACTTTTATGAATTTCAGCACCGACCAAGCATGTTTAAGGACCTCAAGCCGGACTTTGTGAAGGCAGACCATGGTGATGAGCTGCATTTTGTCTTTGGAGCACCTCGTAAGTGTTGGAGACTGTGATTGGAGGGGATTGGGGTTTGAGAAGGGGCAGAATCCCTGGGGCTGTGGATTATCATCCTGTCACCTGCCCTCTTCTCTCTGACATCATAATGAATTCCAATGCCTCATGTTTTCACAAAGCACCTTCACATATATCAGCTCATTTAATCCTCACAGCTGCCCTGTGAGGGTGGTGTGTGTGTATAGCATGATCAGCCCCATGTTGGAAGGAGGGAAACAGACTTGGAAGGGGGGAAATGACTAACCAAAAGTCATACAGCTAATAATAATAATAATAATATTAACAGCAGACATTTTTATTTTTTAAAATTTGATTTATTATTATTATTATTTTTAAAAATTTGTTTATTTTTAGTTTTCAAAAATCACTTCCATAAGCTTTTGAGTTTTAAATTTTCTCCCCCTCCCTCTCCACCTCTTTCCCCAAGATGGCGTGCAATCTGATATAAGCTCTATATATGCATTCCTATTAAATGTATTTTCACATTAGTCATGTTGTAAAGAAGAATTAGAACCAATAGGGGGAACCACAAGAAAGAAGAAACAAAACAAAACAGAAGGAAAAAAAAAAGAGCGAATAGTATGCTTCGATCTGTATTCAAACTCCATGGACCTTTCTCTGGATGTGGATAGCATTCTCCATCATCAACCTTTGGAGATGTCTTAGATCCTTGCATTAACAGCAGACGATTTTATAGTGCATATTGGTTTACATATAACTTTATATACATTACCTCATTTGATCCTCACGACAACCTATGAGGCAGGAGCTATTATTATCCCTCGGAAACTGAGGCAAACAGAGGTGAAGTGACTTGCCTAGGGTCCCACATTGAGTAATGTTAGAGCTGAGATTTCATTCCACCTGGGCTGTACACTCAGTCTAAGGTTCCATGAAGCATTGAACAAGAAGCCAGGCTTGCCTTCTGCAAGACAAATGGTCTGTAGTCTGAATGTGAATAGGGGTTGATTTGACATCTCTTTGTTAAGATCAACCTGAAAAGTCCTCTAACTCAACTTGCTTATTCAGATGATCAGGAGAACTGAACCAGGCTCTCAATTCAATTTACATTATTAAGCACATCCTGCATGCAAAGCTCTATGTTCAAATCTGGGGAAGATACCGTGATAAATAAGTCACAGTTTCTGACTTCCTGGAGCTTATTACCCGGAAGGGAAGATGAGACACAAACTCAAAAATCACATTTTCATATGTCAATGAACCTGTGACTTCACCAATGCCTTCATCCTGTCCTTCATCCTAGGGTGTAGACCCTAACCTGTCACACCATCTCATTCTGTATGATTCTTGCTTTTGTGCTTCCATAACTCCTCCACTCTCTGCCCAACATGCTAGAAGGCTTCCCTCCTTCCTGCCCTCTGTCCCTCCTTTCCTTCCTTCCTTCCTTCCATTATTTTTGGTTCAATGTCTCCAGTAGTACATCTAAGTAGATCATTGGACAAAAGTTTCATTTAGCAATCTTGGGAGTTAATGTTGTTAGATGGTCCCAAATCTGTGTTTTTGGAAGCCTTCTGCCCTGATTTTCACCTCTCTGCTACTATCCTGGCAGAACTGGAAGGCCAGTTTATCCATTTATCTGCTTCATGACTTGCCATGGCCAATAGAATTCATTACTTTATGGCCCAGCTGCTGCTGCTGAGCCTGTCTGCAATGCCCCGTGCAGGGGTCATGAATGGCAAGTATTGTCTGGGGCCAGGGCCATATGCAAAAACTTTACAGCTACCAGAACTTGTGCTATGTTGTTGTAACTTAGAAAAGGACAAGGTCCATTTTACCCAGTGAGGAGGCTTTGCGTGGTGGGCACAAATAACCACAATATGAAATCGAACATGAGAAGTGCCCGGGTGAGGTACCAAATGCTCTGAAAGTCCCAAGAAGGGAGAGTTCCTATCTTTGAAGAGTCAGAGAACCATTTGGCTCTTCAGGGTGACTTGGCTTTAGGGTCAGGCAGAGTTGTTCCTGGACAGCGCAGGTCAACAAAAACCCTGGAGGTTTCCTAGTATTGGAGCAATGTGTAGAAAACTGCATTTTAGGAAGATGACTTTGGTGACATGAATAGGATCGTTTTGGGGAGTAGAAAAGGGAGAGGGGAATGTTGGGGTGAGGGCAACTTTAGCACTTAATATTGACCTTAATGGAGCGTTTCCTTCCTGTTTTTAGTTTTAGGTGGAGCCACAGAAGAGGAAAAACTATTCAGTCAGAAGATAATGACCTATTGGGCAAACTTTGCCAGAAATGGGTGAGGATCCTGCCCCCTGGGTCTCACAACAGCTCTGGCAAGGCTCCCTGGGAAGGGCCATTTGGCTCCTTGTTTCATAGGAGAAAGAAATTCCATGATTTATATATGTTGGTTCAGAGGAAACAAAATTACCTATCACCATTTGGGTAAGGTCTGGTGAGCAGACCTAGCCCTTTTGTCAAGCTCATGACCCAGGGAGAGCTTGTGCTCACCTTAGAAGAAACAAGGAGGAGAAGCACCCTGCTCAGCCCACACCATCCCCCCTGAGCCCTTGGGACCTTTCTTCCCCTCTGAGAAGCAGCAGGATGTGGTCTGGGACAAGGATGTTGTTGGGGTCAGCCTCAGCTGACCAGAATTTAGATCTTAGCTCTGCTATTATTTACTCCCCACTTGGAACATGTCATCTCTCAACAAAGGGCCACAGCCTGTTTCAGTGTAGGTGAACAGGGCTCATCTCCATGGTTGCCAGCTTCCCTTCCCTCCTCCCTCACCCCCAACTTCTCAGACTTGGAGGTTATTTGGTCAAGCAGATGTCAGCGCACTAAGCCTGCTAATTCACTGACATCTCTTCTTCCTGAACCTATGTGTTTTTTTTGTCTCCAGGGACCCAAATGGTGCAGACCTGCTCCACTGGCCAGCCTATAACCAGAATGAAGAGTATCTGCAGCTTAATCTCCAGTTGTCTGTAGGAAAGGGCCTGAAGGCAGAGAAGATGGAGTTCTGGCTGAAGAGCTTGCCTCAGAAGAAGAAGGAAGCAGTGGACCCAGACGCCCAGGAGTCATGAGTCCTAAGCCTAAATCATTTTTGCTATTGCTGCCCTCCAATAACCTCCATTTGTTTCCTTTGAATAATTTCTCAGTATCTGCTAAATATATTGTACTTTGGGTCAGATATTTCAGCTCAATCATTATTACTGCTGGAGAAGAATTTAACTGATATTCAGATGGGACCCTATGATAGTCAGATAGAAGGTAGGTATCTTGATTTAGTGGATCAGATGCTGAGCCTAGAATCAGGAAGTTGTGGATTCAGATCCTACCTTTCACACTTAAAAGCTGTGTCATACCAGGCAAGTCACTTATCCTCTCTGAGCCTCAGTTTCCTCATTTGTTAAATGAAGGGGTTAGACTTAGACGGCTTATAGATCTCTTAAAACTCCAGCTCCATTATCCTGTGATGAGGCCATTCAGCCCATCCTCCATCTAGAAAAGAATCATTTGTCCCCTGAATTGTAAGATTTAGAGCCAGAAAGGACATGTCATAATCTCATAAAAAAAGAAAAGTGAGGCCCAGAGAGGGGGTGACTTGTCCAAGGCCATCGAGACAGCAAGTTGTAGAAGCAGGTTTGGAAGCTGGTTTTCTGATTTCAAACACAACATTCTTTTGAGAAGACTATGCTGCTGCTAGGGTGTGGTGTGAATAGCGGCATCTCTGTCCTGTTTCATAGTTTCATAATCACATTAGAGACGACATTTTTGATGAAGAAGCAGTGCTTTTGGGTAGAAAGAGTATGAAGTCTGGAGTCCAAAGACCAGCATTTGAATTCCAGCTTTCCCTCTAATTATGAAGTGTCTGAATGGGGTCACTAATCAATCAGTGGACTTGGAATCAGGAAGCCTTAAATTCAAATTCCACCCTAGACTCTTACTTACCATGTGACTGACCCCGAGCAAGTCACTTAAGCTTTTTCAGCCTCAGTTTCTTCCTCTGTAAAATGGGGATAACAATGGAACCTACCTCCCAGGGTAGTAAAGTGTTTCGCAAGCATTGAGGCTCTGGATAAATCCAGACTTTTGTTACCTGTGTAACTTAGGGCAGAGTGCTTATATTTTTGGGTCTCTTAATTCATTTTTGGTAAAAATGAATGGTATAGATCATTAGACTTTGGCTTTAAAAGGGCTTTAAAAGCCAAACAGAGGATTTCATATTTGATCCTGGAGGTAATAACCCCTGAAATTTATGACAGACTTCCACATCAAATTATTTAAAGGAAATGTTAATCAAATTATAGGAGGGAAATATTGAAACCATAATAGTTGAGGACCTCAATGCACCCCTTTTTGGACTTAAAAGATAAACAATCTCCCAGCTTCTCTGTGGCTTAAATAGTCAGTGGTTTTCACAATCACTCTGTGGGGCAGGTGAGGCAGATGTTATTATTCTTAAAGTAACAGATAAATGTCACACAGAGGGCAATGGAGAGGCTCTTAGTGGATGGCAGCTTGGCTGTACATAGACAGAATAAACACCTCTGGTGGACAGGAATAAAAGGCTTTGTCAAGGAATTGCATGATGGGAAGAGAAAAGTGATGGTCACGTGGGAAGACCAAGGGATGACAGGTGTGTGTAGAGGGGTCAGAGTCCTCCTCTATTGACCTTCTGACTCTGGAAGAAAGAAACACTTCCAACATGTTGGGTGACACCTGCAGCAAACTTCTAGTAGGACATGGATGAGTCAATAAGTATTTATTTGGTACTTTTTTTTGTGTGCCTGGCACAGTCTTGGTGCTAGGGGTACAAAGAAAGGCAAAAAACAGTCTTTGCTCTCAAGGAACTCACAGTCTAATAGAGGAGACAACATGTAAGCAACTATGTACAAACATAATAAATACAGGATAAATTGGAGATAACCTCAGAAGGAAAGTACTAGAATTAAAAGGTATTGGGAGAGGCCTGTTGTAGAAGGTGGGATTTTAGCTGGGACCTAAAGGAAGCCAGGAGGCAGAGATGAGGTGGGAGACAATTCCAGGCATGGGGACAGCCAGAGAAAATGCCCAGAGTCAAGAGATGGAGTGTTTTATCCAAGGATCATCAAGGAGGCCAATGTCACTGGATCAAGTGGAGGGAAGTAAGTTGTAAGAAGACCAGAAAGGAAGGAAGGCACTAGGTTATGAAGGGCTTTAAAATCCAAACAGAGGATTTCATATTTGATCCTGGAGGTAATAACCCCTTAAGTTTATGACAGACCTCCACATCAAATTATTTAAAGGAAATGTTAATCAAATTATAGGAGGGAAATATTGAAACCATAATGGTTGAGGACCTCAATGCACCCCTTTTTGGACTTAAAAGATAAACAAGAAACAAAAGCTTGAATAGAATTTTTTTTCTTTTTTTCTTTTTGACTAGGCAATGGGGTTAAGTGACTTGCCCAGGGTCACACAGCTAGTAAGTGTTATGTGTCTGAGGCTGGATTTGAACTCAGGTCCTCCTGAATCCAGGGCCAGTAATCTATCTACTGCACCTCCTAGCTGCCCCTTGAATAGAATTTTTTAAAAGTTAGATATGATAGATCTCTGATGATTACTGAATGGGAATAGAGAGGAGTCTACATATTTCTTAGCTGTATATAGCACATTTATAAAAATTAAGGCTGTATTATGGGAAAAAAAACCCTCACAAACAAATGCAATAAAATAGCAATATTAAATATACTCTATGCTGGCTATAGCACAGTAAAACATGTTTGATAAATGGCCTTTAAAAAGAAGAATATCAATTAGAGACAATAATTTAATCCTAAAGAATTAGTGAACCAAAGAAGAAATCACAGGCATAATTGATCATCACTTAATTGAAAAGTGATAATGAAGAGACAACATGTCAAAACTTTTGAGATGCAGAAAAAAATAGTTCTTAGGAGAAAATTTATGTCTTTAAACACTTTCACCAACAAAAGAAAGAACAGATCTATAAATTGGATATGTAACTAAAACAAAACCAAGAAAAGCATCAAATCAAAAAACTCCAACTAAGCATCAAAATCAGATGAGATGAACAAAATTCAAACAAAAATTTATTGAATTGGTAAATAAAACTAGATGCTTTTAAAAAAAACACCACAACACTAATAAAAAGATACACTTAGCTAAATTGTTATTAAAATGAAGGAGGAAAACCAAAATGCCAATATTGAAAACAAGAAAGAACAATTCACAACAGATGAAGATGAATTAAAGGAAATTATTAGAAACTGTCCATCCCAATTATATGATAACAATAATAATAACATAGATGAAACTGATGAACACTTACAAAAATATAAATTATCCAGATTAACAGAAAAGGAAATTAAAAAAACCTTATTTCAGAGAAATAAAACAAATAAGCCATAAATAAATTCCCCAAGGGAAAAGCCAAGACCAGAAAAATTTGCTAGTGAATTCTATTAAATATTTAAGGAATAATTAATTCCAATATTATATAAAATATTTGCAAAAATGGGAAAGGAAGGAACCCTACAAAATTGAATCATTGATACAAATATGAACGTGGTAGCTAAATCAGGGACAGAAAAAGCAGAGAAAGAAACCTAAATAGAGCAATATCCTTAATGAATATCAGTGCAAAAATATTAAATAAAAAATTAGCAAAAGGCTACAACAATATATTAAAAAGAGTGTATACTAGGACCAGGTTGCATTTATATTAGGAATGCAGGGTTGGCTAATAAAAAGTAAACCATAAACATAATAGACCATTTAAATATAAAAATAAAAAGCATATATTTGTATTAATAGATGCTAAATTTTTTTTGCAAACTACAATACCTATTTGTGTTTTTAAAAAATCAATAAGTGGATTTTTTCTTAATATGTTGATTTGTCTAAAATCAAAGGCCAGTATTTTATATAATGGAGAAATGCTAGAGGGCTTTCCAGTAACATCAAGAGTTTAGCAATGATATCCATCACTATTATTTGATGTAGTGGTAGAAATGCCACCTATAGCAATAAAACAAGAAAAAGTAACTGAGGGAATGAGCATAGGCAAAGATGAAACAAAATCATCACTTTTCACATGTGATATTAACAGTCCATTTAGAGAAACCCAGATTCTCCTAAAATTAATTGAAATACTCAATAACCAGGAAAGTAGCAGGATATAAAACAACTCCACATAAATGATTAGCATATTTGTGTACTATCAACAAAACTCAATGGAAGAGATCAAAACAGAAATTTTATTTAAAATAACTACAGAATATATGAAATATTTGGGAATCTACTTACAAAGACACACATGGGAAATATAAGAAGACAACTTCAAAACACCTTTTTACACAAAGATAGGTCTTAATAGCTGAAACGATATAAATTGTTTATGGTTAGGGCATGCCAATATAAAAAAATTCCTAAATTAATTTACTTATTCAGTTCCATACCAATCAATAGGGCCAAAGGATTACCTGTATGCTTAGGGAAAATGATAACAATGTTTATCTGGAAGAACAAAGAGTCTTAGGGAGAACAATGAAAAAAAAGTGGTAAGAAAGGGGACCTAGCAGTGCTAGATCTCAAAACTGTATTACACAGCAGTAGTCATCAAAAATTTTTGATACTGGTAGAAAAAAATAGAAAAATTGATCAGTGGAACAGATTGGGTACACAAGATCCAGAAACAAAGGAACATAGTAACATGGGTAGCTAAGTGACTAGTGGATAGAGCACTGGCCCTGGTGTCAGGAGGACCTGATTTCAAATTTGACCTCAAATACTTACTAGCTGTGTAACCCTGGGCAAGTCATTTAACTCTGCTTCAATTTCCTCACCTATAAAATGAGCTGGAGAAGGAAACAGCAAATCACTCCAGTATCTTTGCCAAGAAAACTGCAAATAGAGCCATGAAGTATCAGACACAACTCAAAAATGACTGAACAACTTAGTGTTAAATAAGCCCAAAGACCCAAAAAAACAAACAAAATCTCATTTTTTTGATCCTCTAATTTGTTTATAATGTATCCTTTTATATCTAAATCACACATTAATTTGGAGTTTGTTGTGGTATGTGGCATGAGATTTTGGTTTAAACTTAATTTCTGCTGGACTGCTTTCCAGGTTTCCCCAAAGGTTTTTGTTTGTATTTTGTAAAGCTCTTTTGGCTTAGAGCAGGA